GCCCAACAATATCTGCATACCCATAACGATGGGGTCCCGATGATTCCTGTGGGATGACCTCTTCTAGGTGCACGCGCTGACTGCTGACCTCGACGTCCTAACGCAAATACAATATCGGTTTGGAGGACCAAATAAAGCACTTCTTTACCCGCTCAGTCGGATTTTGCTATTTACTTCCTGCGCACAAAGTGATCTATGTGGTCTGTGAAGTCACTATGATAGCTGTAGTTATTAGGATGAGGGAAAAAGTCAACCAAGTCCTGATTTCAAAGAACAGTAGTGATACAAGCATTGTTAGCATCTACTCCTGGCTCTCATTTACTGGGTAACCAAAAGAATCGCCCAAAATCCAATTCCAGCAAGTGAGAGGCGAATAGGTTTTGAGTCCACTTTTAAGCTGTATTTCATCACCAAAACGTTTATCCCGCAACCGCTTCTCTGGCATGTCCTGTGATGAAACGTGGTGGGTTGTGGGCTCTGGCTAATGCTGAAGTGGTATTTAAAGACACATGGTACGCTCAGTAAGCACAGAGGGTGTATGAAGACTGATCAGGCCCCCCAGCTGTCGATGCGTCGTACCCCGAGCCGCCAAAACTGGCATGGGGTTAGAGTAGAGGCCGTGGAAACGTCAATTCGCTTCATCTCCGCCTGACGTTATGCTAAAGGCCGTTCGCGCGACACGTGTCCGCGTGCAAGCTCTCTTGCTTTCGCCAAGTCCTGTAATTGCGCTTCTGGAAAACAAAGTAGCAGACGGACACATTTCTTTATACGGATAACATTTTAGGAAGGGTTCTGCCAAAATAAAATTGAAGAATGATGACCGAAGGCTAGAACGCGAAGAGGACTGTGCTTGCTTTGCAAACAGCGACGCTCGCAGGCCGCGAGCATTCCACAAACATCAAAATAAAAACGGCCTAAGCGTCCCACTCGTTAGTTTGAAGTATTTCTATAGCATTAGAGCCGGATTCGAGCCGGATCGCAGAAATGCACACGCGATTTTAATTAATTGCGTTTCCTTAGTTTTCAATTTTGTTTCATTTACATCTACACTCCTCATCATTACGGACTGTCGGGGCGGGTCAGTGCGGCTGCGTTTTCCGCGGTGCCAAAGTCTTTCTGCACCAGTTGTTGAAGCGAGCAAATGACATGACAGCATTATATCCTTCGTATTACTCGTTTTCTACCACTTTTTGTCGCATACGCGTTTCAACGAAAAGGCTGAGAACGGCTTCAAACAGTGTGCGCACTCCTACTGGCTGATACGCACCGACAGTCCGTAATGAAAAGGAGAGTACATTCGTTGTTCTTCATTTCTAGCCTTTGTCATCTTCATCACCTTCTATTCGGACTTTGAAGCATGAGCAATACCTCAAATGTTAGGAAATTGCGTTTTGCTTGTATTGTCATGTTTTATTGTCATGTTGTCCGTTTTTATTTTGATGTTTTGTGGGAATGCGCGGCCTGCGAGGGCTGTTGCAGAAGCAGCACAGTGCTCTTGAGTTCTAGCCCTCGTCATCATCTTCAGTTCTTATTTTGCAGAACCTAAAATGTTATCCGCATAAAGAAATTGCGTTGTACTTGTATTCCAAAGCAATTACAGGACTTGGCAAAAAGCCAAGAGAGCTGCACGCGACCGCGCCGCGCGGATGGTGTTAGCATAAACGTGAGGGCGGTGTAGCAAGGAATTACGACTTTCCCACGGCCCCGTACTCTGACCCCGTGCAGTTTTGGGCGGGGGACCACGACACATTCGGAATGAACGTTGAGTGTGGTACGGGACAATGGGCGGGGCATTGTCATCTAGCACAAGCTTATCTTGTAAACAATGGAAGTATAGTCTTGTTTGAGAGTTCAGCAAGTTTAAATGGAGGCTCTGAGAGATTCTCCTTTGTCGCATTATAAAGAATAAAAAGATAAAGTCTTCGCCGTTGATCAATCCCTTTGTGGGATGCGGCACGCATTCTACTTCCATTCAGAATCGTAGTGGCTTATTGAATGCGATGTGGCCTATACAATGACTTGCGGTGGCCAGCCGATGTACAAGTCAATATTCTCACAATCCCAGACAAATCTGGTATCACATTAGCATACCCGGAGAGGAAAAGACTTGGCTGGCCTGGGCGGGAGCCGATTCAGGATTTGATCAACGGACCGTGCTCGTGGTGAGCGTACCATTTGCCACTACACCGCCTCCGTCTCTTTCGCTTCCTGGTACGCAAGCCCCCACAAATCCTATCCGCGGCCTCAACGTGGCGTCGGGGTAAACGGTTTCAATCGTACCAATGCAAAGAGTGCCACGTTGGAGCCCGTCAAGCTAGGCGTGGTCAGTTCATGTACCGCAAACGGTAACAGCTAGCTGGGCTTCATCCCTCTGAATCCGACGGAACCACTGACAAAGAAGGATTGTTCGGGAGCATACGGGAGAATCTGCAAGAATCCTTACAACCAACGACGAAGTGAGCTGCTGAGGACTAAATTTACAATCTGTACTGTCAACGCACGGACGCTTGCATCGGAAGCTCACATCGAAGATCTGATGTATGCAAGCCAGGAAGACCAAGTACGACGTCAATAGGCTGCCTGAGACGAAGAGGCATCGCCGTGTACGGAACTGGAAGAAGAACTGTTCCTCGGAACATGCAATAGCAGAGGCGACGCCGGTAAGGGTGTCCACTCAACAAGCTCTTGGCCATGAACATGACTCGTACGAAAATCTCACGACCCAATGGGACCTCCGCGATTAAGAGGATGTGCTTCGATCACGACTTTGACAATGCGCGCACAAATACCGAGTTGCGACGAGCATGAGCTCGAAGCGTTCTATGTGGAATTGGAGAAGTTCTACAAGGAAGATCATACCTTCTTCAAGGTCATCGTCGGTGATTTCAACGCTAAGATCGGACCAAGAAGAACGGCTGAAGAACTTCACATCGGAACTCACGGAATGGAGTGGAATGAGCAGGGTGAAAGGCTGTCTGAGTTTATCATGTCGACCCATACCATCCATGGTAACTCGCAGTTCCAGAAGCCCTACTCGGACATGGGAGTCTCCTGGTGAATAATCCTATAGCGAGATCGAGGACATCATCTACAATCCAAAATTCTGCCCGGCTGACGTCTCTGTTCTGCACGGTATGGGAACTACCGGCTCTTCCACGCAAGATTCCGTTTTTCTAGGAGAGAGAGCCGCGAAGCTGAAGAAGCGAAGTTCCAAGAATGCCGTCATTTGGGATCACTTCACTTCTCTCGCTGGGCTCTGGGAGGATTCCGTCATCGACAACGTCGATGAGAATACGAGCGGCTTGTTGAACATCTCCACCAAGAAGTCAGAGTGTTCCGAGAATATCAGGAAGCGTCTTTTTCGAGAATGATTCCGCCAACGTGGAGCCGCACGAGCCGCAGGCAATTACCAGCTGACGTCTGAGCTTGCGAAGCTATGCAAGGGAGCAATGAAGGAAGACTACCCGGCTCCGTGCCCATCTTTGATCCCGTGGTCACTTCTGCTTTAACTGACGCCTCGGAAACTTGGGCTCTACGAAAGGAAGATAAACGTGCGAGTAGCGTCATTCAATGCGCAGTTTACGCGCCATGGGTCTTGAAGATGACCGCTGGATCAGAGCGATCACCGACTGGATTCCACGGGATGTCAAGCGAACACCTGGACGACCGCCTACGCGATGGTCAGACTTTCTCGTGAAAGCTCTGAGAAATGGTATGAGTACCGCTTCCTTCGAGCACAGACAACCATTGGGAGCTCTAATACGCTGCAGGGGCAAATCGATACGTTACTGGCGCCCGTTCAGTCAACTCGATGATGAAAGGGAGCACAGACGAGACAGGTGATGAAACGCACGTGCTGGTACTGATGAGCACTTCCACTGACGCGTTGATAAGGAATCTTCTCTTCTTATGATATCCTATACGTAATCCCTAGCTCCCAGAAACAGTAGAGTTGGTTC